GTGCACCCTCTCCTTCTTTGTGCTAAACTAAGACCAGCACCGCCCGGCCTCTGGGCTCTCCCAGGGGTCCCAGTCTGCAAAGACCCCCTGGGCTCTCCTAGCCTTGGGGCCAAAGGAAGCTTGACCAACCAGCATCCAGGGATAGTATCTTAATCTTCTAAGATTTTTTTAAAAGGGAAAGGAAAAAAAGAGTCTCCCTACCTGTCCTCCCCTTCCCCCCTCGCCTGCCTGCTCCTCTTCTCCGGACCTCCGTGTTTCCCTCCCTCCCGGCAGACCCCTGACTGGCCCTGGTGCCAACTCACCCCTTCCCCAGGGAGATGAGCACTGGTGTCTCCAGCTCCATCAGCACCTGGAAGGCTTTATTCATGTTCTGGAAGGAAAAGCCCTCGGCGGCGTCTGCAATCACCACGCAGTTGGGGTTGGACGTGTCCACCTGGTGGAATTCCGAGCGGAGGCCTGGAAAGAGGACACAGGCCCTCAAGTCCCCGAGCCCCGGCCAGGGCCACCCACCGCCTCTTTCCCACCTTCACAGCCATAGCGGAGGGGAGCGGGGAAAGAGTGGTGTTCCCATTGTACAGATGAGGGCGCTCGTTGGGAGAGAGCGCTGCCCGGGTCTGAGACCGCCCAGCCCCTGGCTGCACGGTTCCCTTGGTAACAGAGCAGGCAGGAAATGGCCCGGTGCAACAGCTCCAGAGAGGACAGAGGACTGGTCTGCAGGGAGAGGAGGGGGCTGCACAGATAAGTCCCATGGGCACACCTCAGCTTCTGAAGGTGGGTCAGAACAAGGGGCAGCTCCGGGGAGCCCCACCGCCTCACCTGGCCCTTAGCAGGCTCTTCTTCTTCCTTGACATGACAACAGAGACAGGGGCAAGGGCAGGGTCTCCAGGGTCAGGAAGCGCTTACACCCTAGAGCACGTCATTTGCACAAGGCTGTGGTCCACAGCGGAAGCCTGAACGCCGGCTGAGTCTTGACATCCTTGTAAATTCTGACGCCACTCGAGTGAGTTCCTGCTTCTTCCCGATGCCTGCTGACCACTGAGCCAGCGCTGCGGCTGCACTCAGGCCCAGGAATCCCACTCCTAGGTCGGTCCCAGAAATGCCCGGGAACACTCCGACTGGCTCGTTCACAGAAGCCCAAGAGAGGTGGTTTGGACAGGAGGATGGAGGGAAAACTGCCTACTCAGTTCATGGAAAACTGCTCGGTCATAAGACAGAAATGACTGAGAGGGGCCCTGGTGTCCCTGTGAGTCAGGTGCTGGACTGCGAACTGCCAGGTGGGCAGCTGAAAGCCACCAGCGACTGGGAGAAAGAGGAGGCTGTGTGCTCCAATGTAGACCCAGGGGCTCAGAGACCTTACGCAGGCTTGCTGTGTGTCAGAACCGGCTGACGACGATAAGCTGGGCTTGGTTTAGGAGCAACTGGACAGCAAAGACTATGTACCACTGAGACCACAAAAATTCAAATAGTTGCTGCCTCGGGGGAGCACGGAGGGGAGCAGGTGGGCAGAGTGGACTGGAAAGGCCATGAGGAAGCACTTGGGGAGCAAGTAAAGTACCCTATCTTCATAGGAGCTGGAGTCACACCCAAAACAAATTACCCCCAAAAAACCTTTGCTATATCA